ATATTATTATAATATTAATATTAATAATAATAATAATTATTATTATAATATTAATATTAATAATAATTATTAATATTATAATAGTAATAATAATAATAATAATTATTATGATAATAGTAACAATAATTAGTATTATTAATAACAAAACATAAATAATAATAACAATCGCAAGAGATGATATAAATTAGAAAAATGTTTCATGTTACCTACAAACAATTTTAATTAGTTATAATAATGTATAGTACATAATTAGTAAGCTAAGGCTAGGATTGATGAAGTAGCTAGCTAGTAAACGATATTTACAAATTAAATGTGATGTAGGTCGCCAACATCTCTCGAATTACATGGAGTTCCTCGCTCGTGTATGGCTGTCCCGTTTGCCCCTTGCAAAACTTAGAATACACAAAACGTGAGTTAGTAGAAGTGAATTAATAATAATTGGGGTTAGTTAGTAGGAATGACCCGAGCAAAACTTGGAATAATACACAAAACGTAAGTGAACACATACTTAGCTTACTCATAATAATAACATGACATTATTACTTAGTTATATGTGACTAAGGAATGAAATTACAAGAAAATAGCAATATGAGGGTTTAGGTCGCATTTTCGATCAAAATAGCCCAAGTAAGGCCATTTTGGCTTCTATGATGCCTATTTTCTATAATTCTTGTCTATTGAACTCATAACTAGTTAAAACATGTCATTATCACTTGGTTATAGGTGACTAATGCTTGATATTACAAGAAAAGAGCAAGTAAGTGGTTTTGGGACGCAATTTCAACCAAAATGGCTCAAGTGAGGCCATTTTGGCTACTAGGATGCCTATTTTCTATATTTCTTGTCTATTGAACTCATAACTAGTTAAAACATGTCATAATCACTTATTTATAGGTGACTAATGCTTGAGATTACAAGAAAAGAGCAAGTAAGTGGTTTTGGGACGCAATTTCAACCAAAATGGCTCAAGTAAGGCCAATTTGGCTACTAGGATGCCTTTTTTCTATATTTCTTGTCTATTGATATTATAACTAGTTAAAACATATCATAATCACTTAGTTATAGGTTCCTAATGCTTGAGATTACAAGAAAAGAGCAACTAAGTGGTTTTGGGACGCAATTTCAACCAAAAAGGCTCAAGTAAGGCCATTTTGGCTACTAGGATGCCTATTTTCTATAATTCTTGTCTATTGAACTCATAACTAGTTAAAACATGTCATAATCACTTAGTTATAGGTGCCTAATGCTTGAGATTACAAGAAAAGAGCAAGCAAGAGGTTTTGGGACGCAATTTCAACCAAAATGGCTCAAGTAAGGCCATTTTGGCTAGTAGGATACCTTTTTTCTATATTTCTTGTCTATTGATATTATAACTAGTTAAAACATGTCATAATCACTTAGTTATAGGTGCCTAATGCTATAAACAACCAAACACCAAAACAAACAAGAAAAAATAAAACAAAAACACCAAGGCTAAAACAAGCCCAAGCTATACATCAAGAAACCAAAAAAAAACACAGCAGCTGAAACAACAGCTCCCACCTGACAACACACAGGATCAGCCAGCTGAACAAGAACAACACAACCAGCACCACAGAAACCTCAGAGCAGAGCCACTTCTAGAGCACCATCTGACAGCAAGCCAACCAGCTACAGACCTACACAAACCAAAGCAAGCTCAGCAACAGGTTGCAGCTACAGACCTGCACTGAGCAGGCACACTGACAGCCAGCACCAGAACAGAATGTAGCATCAGTTCAGAGAAAGCAGCCTGAACAGGCAACAGAAACAGAAGCACAGAGCACAGGGCAGAACTTAGGGAATTCTGCCTTTGAGAAGCTGCAACACAACAGGAGCACAGAGCACAGGGCTCTAACATTGCCCAAACCCGGCTTCACCAGCCTTACTCCCCACTGCCCCCTTATACTTACTCCCCACTGCCCCCTTATACTTACTCCCCACTTCCCCCTTATGCCCCCTTATACATGCATCTCTCTCCACCAGCCTTACTCCCCACTGCCCCCTATTTTTTTTCACAATCAACAACACAACCAACAACTAAATTGTAAAGCAAATATTCTTTGTAATTGTATGTCATGAGTAATGGGTTTTGAACAAGTACCTGAAATGGTGCCTTAGACCAACCGTGAGAGCGAGAAGAATGTTGTTGTACGTGGAGGGGGGACAATGCGCGTCTATATTGACAAACCCTAGATTACAGGAACTAATAATTACTAAATTGTAAATCAAAACCACCAAAAACTCGAAAGAATTCATCAATTGTAAAACCTAATTGCTACGAACTTACCTTAATCAGGTTGAAGCTGTTTCAATGTAGGGAGTTTGGCTGTAGGTACGACGCGAGTGTTGTCTTCAACGGAGGTGAGAAAGCTGCATCACTTCAATGGAGGAACAAAGAGGGGGGTTGAATGAAGAAGGGAGGAGGGAAACACAATTTGGCGTTGTTGTTTTGTTATGAATTGAAGAAGAACGATGAACAGTAACGTAAGGGAGTATACAAAAAAACCCGGGTTTTTATTTTTTTTAAAAATTGCAACGGTTAACCGTTGCCAGATTTAATTTAATTTTTTTTTTAAAACAACAGTTGGCAACGGTTACTGTTGCCAACTTTAACCTTTTTATTTTTTTAAAAAAAAATCAGTTGGCAACGGTTAACCGGTGCCAATTCTAAGCATTTTTTTTTTGTAAAAAAAAAATAAACAGTTGGCAACGGTTAACCGTTGCCAATTCTGAAATTTTAATTGGCGCTCATTTTAGTTGGCAACGGTTTTCATGAACCGCTGCCATAGGGGGGGTGCCTATTACTTTTTTTCTACTAGTGCCCCACTTTCATTTGATTCATGGAGTTATTATTGAATGCATTTTACTTTCTTTTGATTCAACCAGCTTTGTTTGAATGTGACTTACATTTAATTCAAATAGCTTTTTTTAATTCATTTGACTGTTATTTGTTCAATAAGCCTTATTTGAATGTACTTGACTTACATTTGATTCAATTTGTTTGTTTAACCGAGTTTGACTTTAATTTGATTCAATTATTTTTGTTTGAATGTGTTTGACTTTCTATTGATTCAACTAACTCTGTTGAATGAATTTTACTTTCATTTAAGTCAATTTGATTTGTTAGATGCATTTGACTTTCATTTGATACAATTTGTTTTGTTTGAATGTGATGACTTTCTGTATGTTCAATTACCTTTGTGGTCTTTCATTTAGATTCGTTTATTGCTTTTGAATTTCTTTTAATTTAATTACCTTTTGTTTAAATGCATTTGATTTAATTAATTTTGTCGAATGCATTTCACTTTTAATTGATTCAATTAACTTTTTTTGAATGTATTTGACTTACATTTTATGCTTTTATCTTTGGTCGATTGTGTATGACTTTCATTGGATTCAATTAGCTTTGTTTGAATGTGTTTCACTTTCAATTGATTCAATTAAATTTGTTGAATCCATTTGACTTTCATTTGATTATATTAGATTTGTTGAATGCATTTGACTTTAAATATATTCAACACGCTTTGTTTGAAAGAGTTTTAATTTCAATTTATTTAATTATCTTTGTTTGATTGTTTTCGCTTTTAATTTATTCATTCAATTATCTTTGTTTCAATATTATGTTTATTTTCCATATTCAAATAATGTTTCGATACTTTACGCCTGATAGGTTCACCATTATATTGTAAAACAAGTTAATATTAATTTGGGAAATTCTCAATGGTAACCCTCAAAAAGTGTAACACTAAAATGGTCACCTCCTTTTTTTTTTTTCTCTCCATATTCAAATAATGTTTCGATACTTTACGCCTGATAGGTTCACCATTATATTGTAAAACATGTTAATATTAATTTGGGGAATTCTCAATGGTAACCTTCAAAAAGTGTAACACTGATATGGTCACCTCCTTTTTATTTATTTATTTTCACAAAATGACCCTAATCAAAAAATTTATTCAAATTATAACCTTTTTTCATTAAATAGTTAATTAAAATTAATCATAGCGGTTTGTAAATGGTGCAGTGTAAATTGTTTTTAACCCGGTTCAAATGGTTTCGGGTTAGAAACGGTTTTGGTTAACGGTGGTTTGGTTCTTTTTCGGTCCGGTTCTATTTTAGTTAGGTTTAGAAGTGGTTTGGTTCGTTAACGGGTTCGATTCTTATACGGTTTTACATTATTCGATTTGATTCGATTTCGGGTTTACTAAAACATGGTTTGGGTCGATTTTTGGTTTTCAAAAATTGATTTTAATCGGTTCAGTTTTCATTTGAGTCTGTCGATTTCGGACAATTAAACGGTTTCGGTTTGAAATTTAACAGTGCTACACTTGAAAAACTTATTGTCGAAATAATTGAGCTTTATGTTCACTCTACATTTTTTTTTTGAAAAACATGTTCACTCTACATTAACTTACAATAGGAGTCATAATCAACTGGCTAGGGCAATAATTATACCACCTCAATGATAACATTTTATTTCACTATATATGTCTTCTTCCTCAACTCCTCAAGTCAATATTAGCCTTATACGAAGCATGACCTACTCTGCATTGTAGCATTAAATGACCTATGACCAATGCGTTAATGGGGGGTTTAAATGCAGTTAGGTAAGTAATGTAAGGTAATTGTATTTTTGGGAGGGAAAAGGTCCTAAGTTACCTGATGACCAAAATACAATAGGTTACCGGTCAAAAAACTTGTAGTGATGAAGCTCATCCGTAATCTTAGTCATAACATCATACATTGGAGATTCCAGAAGTCCAATTTCTCATACACCATCTTTCTTTTTTTTTTTTTTTTTTTGGTACCTTTTAACTAGGTTGCACATATTTGGATAGGGGACAAAAATGGGTATGGATACGAGGACGGGATACTGCAAAATCAAAATTTCAAAAAACTGGTACGGCAAAAAAAATTTAGCAGAATATAATATAAAAAGTTTCAAAAAATTAATTAAAAAAAAAAAAATCCATACAACATAAGTTAAAAGAAAAATCCACTTAGGTAACATCTTCATCACATAATTACATGATAATCATAACCATTTTAAATGAAAAAAAAAAAGAAAAAAAACAACAAAGCACAAACCTATTGAGGCTAGTGTCAGCTAGTCCGCTACAATGAATTGAAAGAAAAAAAAATCAAATAATTCATTTAGAAGAGAGAGAAAATAATCCATTATTTAAAATAAAAACCAAAACTTAAAAATAAAACTGAGTACCGCTAAAGTTGAAGAGAGAAAATAAGAAGTAGAACTGTAGAAATAGATTTAGAAGGTAGAGTAAATAGAAGTTTCGCCGGTCTCCGGTGTCGGGGTGGGTCACAGGTGGTTGTCGGCAGCCTCATGGGTCGCAGCAGGTGGTCGCCGAGAAGGAATCAAGGAATCTTGGCTTCTTAATTTCTAGGGTTTTTGATAAATCAACTTGATGTAAGTAAATTTGGGGATTTTTTTTTTAAAAAAATTGGTGGAGGTTTTCAAACTTACCAAATAGGATGAAATACCCATACAACCCCTAGATTAACGTCTTATAGAAATCAAGAAGATTAACTTGAATTTTTTCCAGGCCTTGTTGTCTGGCTAAGGAATTTCCCCCAAAAAATATCTGACTGAAACAACCTCACTCCTTCCCTCCTCAGTCCTCACTCTCAAAACCCCACCCAAATCCTTTCTTCTCACCTGAATTTTCAAGGTAATGTCTTCCACCCACCTTTTTCCTAATTTATATAATTAGTATTATCAGCATTATAAATCATAGAATTGTAATCTCCTCAGAATTTCAATTTCATCAATTTATTTGCTTCATAATTTGCTTAATTATTCTGTTCTATTTTGACTCAATTTTGCATTTGTGTTTGCTTGAATTGATTTGTTTGATATATACCCATTTTAAGTGCTTTAATCATGGAGTTTTTGTTCTTCAGTGAATTTGCCCTTAATAAATTACAATTTATTCAAAAAAAAAAAAAAAAAAATAAGTTTTGATGAAAGTTGTGTTTATATTCCGATTTTAAGGTTATGGTCACAATTATCAGCATTTATACTGAATTTCATTGCTGATTTGCTTTCGTCGAGCTTCACCCATATCGAATGGATACTTTTCTGTTCTGATTCTGTGTTAAAAATTGAAACTTTGATGAAACTTGTGTTGATAATCTATTGTTTTGGTTAGGGACTTAGGGTCACAACAATTACCAGTTTTTATACTGAAATTTGATTATTTTGCTCATGATTATTAATTTCCACTCATGTTTAATTGATACTTTTGTCTTGTGATTATGTCATTTCAGTTCAATATAGCTGGAAATTTAAGAGTAAAATATCCTTTAGCTATGGTTGCAGCAAGTTCATCTTCCATTTGTGCAATAAATTTGTTCTTTAGAGTGAAGGGTCAACAATTACTTCACCCAAGATGTCAAGATGCTACTTTTACCATGCTGAATGTGCCCTGCTTAGGAAGAAGTATCAAAGGATTCAAAGTTGACCAGATTAATGCTGGCAGAAAGAAGGGTTCTTTGTTTGCAAAGGCGAGTAAGAAGTCTGAGGAATCAGTCCCTTCTTGGGCTAAGCTTGACTCGGATGAGCCACCCCCTTGGGCTCGTGATGAAGGCAAGTCAAATGAACTTAAGGAGGGATTTGAGGTCCCTTTCTTTGTTTATTTGCTTGCCTCGGCTATTACTGCTATAGCTGCTGTAAGTTCCTTCACTATAGATTATAATTTGGACCCTAGGATTCTATGCACTTAGGTAAAGATGCGGTCATGTGGCATCCATCTAAGGTTGTGTTTGGTTCATTGGAAAACATGTAAATCGCATTTAATTTTCAATTGACAGTATGTTTCAATGGTTATGGGGAGAGGTGGGACAGTAGAGAGGAGGGAGATGAGAAAAAGGGAGGAAAATTTGGCTTTCTTAACTAAACATCTTTGGCACCCTTTAGAAAACCTTTTTAATAACTATGGAGATTATTTTCACCCCTTTACAAACCAAACCGAGGGAAATGGATATCTAGTTTTCCCTCTTAACTAAGCATAATCTTAGAGAAAAGAAGAGGTCAATCCTTTAAGTCCTTTTTACCTCATCGTTTCCCTTTTATGTGTGAATTGAATACAACGCATGACCTAATATTCCTGTTTATGTCTTAATGGATTTGACATTGGATTGTGCAGATTGGTTCAATATTTGAATATGTCAATCAAAAGCCTATTTTTGGACTTTTGAACTCGGATAGCGTTTTCTATGCTCCTTTGCTGGGATTTTTCGCAATAACTGGAATTCCAACTTCGGTATGCTCTCCTAGTTTTTGGTTATTTAGGTTTTTTTTTCCCTGTTTAAGCTGAGTTTTAATACTGTTTGAAGTTCTGTCAACTACGGCAGGGGAAATACCGAATGCAAGGATCCAAGATTTGTATAATAAATGGATTACATTGACAATTTTCTCTGTGAAGTTACACCCCTATTTATAGGCAAATGACTGACTGAATTAGTAAATTATGATATAAAACTAAAACCAAATTCTGGTTGACTCAAATCAACTTTAGCAGCAACCAAATGTAATAGAATGATAGGACATTAATATGCAAACCAAGAGAATTTTTACTTGGTGTAGCCAAAATTAATCACATGCAAATTAATCCACTAGTGTATATTGCACGAGTTTTCAACAATGTAAGTTTAGACAGAAATTGGGAGCATTTAAGAAGTCTAAATGGTGTCATTGTCAGATGAACTAATTCTAGCATCATGTGCAGGCTTTTCTTTGGTTCAAATCCGTTCAAGTTGCCAACAAGGAAGCAGAAGAACAAGATAAGAGAGATGGTTTTTGATAGGGCCAGAGGTTAGGGCTTTAGTTCTTGTTTTATGTACCATTCCTCAATCAATTGTAGTTTTACCGTGGTAAATACCTCTACCCTGTAATTAGCTATACCTGGTTGCTTCCCTTAAATTTCCAAGCTAAATTTATGAAAATCAAAATGCTTAATTTTTGGTCACTAATTGGTCACTTTATGGTACCCAAATGAACCTGTATTTTAGGTGTCTGGCATTATTGAAAATACATGACACCACTCGAATGTTCCCACTTCAGAAACCAGATGCTCTTGCAATCTTCAGTCTTCACAGCCAGTTACTTTAGAATAGGGTCAATGGGTGATCAAGAAGGCCATGGTGTAAAGAGGTCACCATTGCGTTCTACTGCTTGACTTGTTAAGTTCTACTGGTCCAACCTTCACCTTTTATATGATTTACTGTGTCCCTTGTTGGCATATTGATCATGGCCTTTTTGGGCACTTCGTTCGTGTAGACTCTAAAAGCTTGTCAAAGTTCTAGCAGTAGGAAGCTTAGCAACATTCTCGGTATTAGTACTGCTAGTGATTTTAGGTGCTTAAAAAGCTTAAGATTCTCTATAGCCTAAAGGGTTTTTAGGTGTTTAAAGTGATATATACACAATGCTTTCTTGAAAATCTCTTCTTTACGTCTGTTTCTATTTTCTCTTGTGGTACTTGTAGTTGTAGTCCTTGTGGATGCCTCGTCCTTTTGCCAGTATAGCATTAGGCTGTTACTTTTAAGGTGAACCATGATAGATTGTATCAAAGCCCCAAATTAAGAAGCAACCAACGACAGAGAAACTTGAATCATCAATAGTAGTAGTAGTGCATGCATCATGGATAGTGAGTGCAGAAGCATAGATGATGAGATGACTTTATGGAAAGAGTGAGTGCTGGAAAAATATATTGAAGCATGGATCCAATTCGAATGTGGTTGGCCAAGGAAACTGAAATCGACCTACTCAAGAGTACTATACATGATGTGGCATAGTTGAAAGAGCAACTCATTTGTTGTTAGACTTAAGAGATTGATTTATTTAAGGTGGTCAATTGAAGATGCATCTGGTAACTTTATAAACCCCATTTCTATCTCATAAAAAATAGTGTACAGTCCTTATAAGCAGTGCAGGCAGCCGGAGAACTTCTTTTGTGTAATATAACTATGTCGTTTAAACACCGGTAATATGGTAGTGCAACAAGAGATATTATGCCTAAAGAACACAATCCGTAATCCCACGAATTTTGAGAACCTTGATATATCTGGGATCTGCCCAAAGGCCCTGAATAATGTGGAACGATACTGCATGGTTATTATATATTTAATTGATATCAACGGAAAGATTGATTGTTTATCCTCATCTATTGATTGAAAAAATGGATCCTGTGAAAATTGCTGTAACAATACAGAAAACTAATAGCAGTAGCAGTATTTAGTGGTGGATGCAGAGAAACTGGTGGATATATAGTTCATTGAAAGAGGAAATTCTCATTACTCGTGTTTTTATTGATGGAACAGAACAAACCAATTAACTGAGAATTAAAAAAGCTAACAAGCAACAGATCCCAAACCGAACACTTACCACTTGAACATGAATATACTTAATTAAGTTGAACTAGAATTAATCCAAACGACACATTTGCCACCTATATGATTCAGAGTTCAGTATGTTCGATAGCAGTACAAAAACTTAACCCAGAACCAATCAGTTTTTCATCCTTGATCTTACTCAGGCGCTCAACCATAGCGGGTGTAAGATAATTAACCCAATCTCCGACCACCCCTTTCCTAAAGAAACTTTTATTGTCAAAATCAGGATCACATTTTCCATTCTTATTAACCTCCATTTCTTTCAAGCTCTCTATACTGCAAAGGTTTATTATATCTTCTACCATACCTTGTTTTTCTTCCTCTTTCGAAAATGGGTACCCCACAAATTCAGCCACCCTCTTGAGCTGCAATGCACCATCTTCCTTCAAATCCTCATACTTTAAAAACAGCACTTTCTCCAGCCTCTCCAAGCTGTCTCTCCAATAGCCTATGACATGATCAAAGAAAGGCCCGTAAAGGCTCTTCCCCTCACAGAACTTGTCAAAATACTCGTCTATATTCGAAGGCTGAGCTGCATTGTTATCAATGTTCTTCAACTTCGAGTAATAATGCCAAGATGACACAAACGTGTCAAAGGGATTGCGAGTAACATAGATGATCTTACACTTCGAATTTTTCACTGATTCAGGAAGAGAAGCATATGGTAGGTGGGTCGAGAATAGCCTTGGTGGTGTTATATTGGTCAAATCGGGTGTTTTATCCTTGGCATAGATCATGATCTCGAGGCTTAAGATGAGCTCATGCGGGCTATGGGTTTGTAATGGGGTGTTTGAAAGGCGGTTGTCCGACCTCTTTAAGAGAGAGTATAAAAGAGACTTGAACCAAGTTGTGCCGGTTTTTGGCATGTTGATGACAAAGATGTCGGATTCGTGTGCTTCGAAATGATTCTGGAGGGCGATCACCGGCTACAAGCAAAATTCCGGGCACCAAAAGTTTTGGTATAGACACATTTCATAACCATATGATTCTTTTGGAAGCGACTCTTTGAGCTCCATTTTTGCTTACTATGTTATGAAAAAAAAAAAAAAAAAAGAGATCAATACTAGTATTATTTGCAAGTTTGTAGATAAAACTATGATTAATCTCCTATCACTATATTAATTGTGGCACCAAGATTTACCATTGAAAGCAAAATTCAACCCTTGTTAAACCAATTTAGACAAGCCTTCATATCAAATCCTTTGCACAAGTTTGGAAATTAAATATGTACATGTACTAGTTCTTACATATCAAGCAAATTGATAAACAAATCAAGGAAGAGGAGGATTAAATTACATACCTATAACTTTTTTCCCTGGTTGCTTATGGAAGAAAAGAGATGCAGAGATATGAGAAGGAGACAATAGCCACAAGCCCACAACTAGATAAACAAAGGAGTTTGGAGAGAGAAACAAATGTGACAAAATGAAGAGCGAAATTGAAAAAAAGCAGTGCCAACGTTAATATTTGAGGGGCAGATATGTAAATTCAGTTGAAAATTCATGTAGGAAGTCTGGAAGTGTAATTGACCAAGGGGGTACAAGACTACAAGGTGAGAAAATTCCTGTACCGTACAACTATAGTTATTTCCCAAGGAAACGCTATTGCCTCCATTTTACCAGTTGCAAGACAACCAAACAACCCATCAAAATTGAAATTTATGGGAATTTTCATTGCTCATGAGAATTTCTGGTAACCAAACAAGCTCTAAGTCTTCTGTGGTTATTAGTTTGCTGTTTTATTTCCAATAAATTGTTACTACTCCGTATAACTAGTTTGTAAAAGTATTATAATTCAAGAGATACTAACTCAAGAATTGCAACTGATTATGTTATGAAATACTTCGTACATATTTTACTTTGAAAAGGTTCAATACATAGTTGATGGTAACCCATCCTTTAATTCAGTACAATATACAGGAAGAAAAAAGAAGAGGAACAAATCCCAATAGTTAACCCTTACAATTTGGAACTCATTCAAAGGTCCAAAATTATTAAACATAGTTATCCTAATTATTTGTCTCAATGTTGAATAGGAATAACTGATCGAGGTTTGAATTTTGCATCTTCATGTCTTGCAAGCTCAGGAGGAACAGGGCTATTACTCCAAATTAGCATCTGCCTCAGATCATAGAAGATATCAGTATCAAGCAAAGTCAAAAATGTGGTCGCCACACCAGTTTTCCCTGCTCTCCCAGTACGACCAATACGATGGGTGTACTTCTCAATACACCCAGGCATATCAAAGTTGATTACATGAGCAACATCAGGTACATCAATACCACGTCCTACAACATCAGTCGCAACCAGAATATTATATTTCTTGTCCTGAAACCTTGCAGACTAATTTCTCTTTGTTCCTGTGATCTGCCACCGTGCAATGTAGTGACTCGATAGCCTGATTTGTCCAAATTTTTGGAAACCACATCAGCAGTCTCCCTGGTGTTAACAGATACTATAGCTGTCTTATATTCAGCTAACTCATCAAGTTGTTTTCGTAGGTTACAAGTTTTTTCAGACTCCTTCATCATGATCACACGTTGGGTGATGCGGTCAGTAGTTTTCCCTAGCGTACCAATAGTCACCACCACAGGATTCCTCAAGTACTTCCTGGCAAGCCGCTCAACGGAAGGTGGCATAGTGGCACTAAACATATAGGTTGTCCTGTAAATCTTTTTCTCATCAAGCTCCTCTTCTTCATTCTCAGGCTTCATATTACTCGAAGGCATTGCATCCAGCACACCAACAACCTGTTGCTTAAAACCCATATCTATCATTCGATCAGCTTCATCAAGAACAACATAATTGCACTGATTCAGAACAACATAGCGCCTTTCCAAACAGTCTAACAGACGTCCAGGGGTTGCTATAACAATTTCGCACCCCTGTCTAATTTTGAATGCTTGCTTCTCAATAGATTGTCCACCAACAATTGATACAACCTTAATTCCTAGACATTGAGCAAACTTAACAATCTCCTCTTCAATCTGTAGCGCTGGTTCACGAGTAGGAGCCATAACAAAGCATAAGGACCCTCAGCCGCATTCTCTTCAGTAATCGGCGGCATCTCCTTTATGTAAGCCAACATAGGAAGAACAAAAGCAGCAGTCTTACCAGAGCCAGTCTCGGCAATGCCAATTACATCTCGCTGTTGTAGTCCTAAAGGAATAGCTGCCATCTGAATAGGGGTCGGAGTCTTGTACCTAGCTCGCTCCACGACGACTTTTAACAGCTCTGAACACAGTTTACTCTCTGCCCAATTCCTCATTGGCTTAGGAACCTTAGACCCTTTGTAAGATATATTAAAGTCCTCCTTGAAAATTCTCCAGTCCCTCTCAGTCATATCCCCAACCTTCTTGGCAGACCAATGGCGGTCGACTTTCATATGATCATCCTCAGATAGCTTCTTCTGCTGTCTACGGTCTATTCCACCTCGAAAGCCTCTGCCAAACAGCAGTTGAGCATGATGTAAATTATTCTGATAAATATCGCGAGATGTATCCTCAGTGTTGTCCCAATTAAAACGAAAGTGTAACTTGTCACTAGGCCTCCTGATCACGGACTTGTTATGAGGTTTCTTGGAACCCAAGTACTGCTCCTGAATAAGCTCCAGTTCCTTTTCAATGTCATAGTCTCCCTTTGTCGTTTCGATTTGGAAGTTTGGCTTTGAATAACAGGTGTTTCTTTGGTATTTTTGGTTATATAGGTATTGGTGATTGCTGTCTCTGCGCTTTCGTCAGAAACACAGGCTTCACGGCAGCAGAATTATTGTATGTTTCGCCTGACATAATAATTCACAAGATTAGAATTGCATATGATTCATCCACCAAAATATATAGCGTACAAGAATAGCTAAATTATGGTAAATATTAGAAACTAGATGGAAATCCGTGCAATGCACGATTTTTTATACATAAATCTCATGAAAAGATTATTTTCTTAATTTAACCCTATAATTTTTATTATTATTTTGCTTGTTAGAAAACGGATAATTTGTTTTATTTTTATGCAACTTATAATGCGACCTTAATTTACTTAATATTAGTTATATGAAAATTATAAGTATGATAAATATTAGAATAAAATCATAATCCTATATTCCTATATATTCGTATTTTTTTAACCTATGATTCGTTTGTATAACGAAAACACGTTGTTCCACTATACATATATAGTTATAGAATCACTATTTTTCTTTCACAAACAATAACTTAGACTACCATTATTCGTTTACTCTGTATCAACTTTATACAATGAAAAATTAATAAAGTAAACCCAAAACTACAAGGTTAAAATAAAGACGGTGGGAGTAATAGTAAAAGATATGACTTTATAAATTTTTAAATAGTTAAATGATATATATATATATATATATATATATATATATATATATATATATATATATATATATATATATATATATATATATATATATATATATATATATATACTACCAAGAGTGTTGCATTACTAAAATTAATCTAATTGAATAAAATTAAATCTTTAATGAAATTTCATTATCATATGTCCTTAATAATAGAGTTATATGTATATACTACTACAATGATTTTTACAACAGTAATATAGATATTCTACCAGAAACTATAATACATAAAAAATCAAAATTATCAGAGACATCTCTTACAATCTTTAATTTTTTTCCCTACTATTGTAACATTATAGTTGACTTAGGGTCTGTTATGATTTACTGAATTGAACTGATTGAAGCTGAACTGAACTGAATATTTTATGAGAGAAGGAAATTAGGAACTGAACTGAACTAAAAATAAGCTAAAGAGAACAGGCCCTTACTTTTCCACTCCATACATTTCTCTTTTGGATTTATAAATGTTTGAAGAAATTTCTTTCTATTAGCGCATGGCATAATCCCTTCAAATACAGAATAATTAATATTAAGTTACAATTAAGTTGTTTAACAAAATTTAATACGATAAGTAACATAATTAGATTAGGTAAAATAAAACAAAACATACAAATAATGAATAACAATCAATTTATTTTGTTTACCATCAGAAAGCCTTGATATACTTACATTATTTCCAATATTTTTTGTTAATCAACAAATTAGACCTGAAAAAAATTCACACCATGAAAAAGTGTAGATAAATAATATTTCCCATGTTTGTGTTTTTTGTATAGTATATATATATTGTCTATTTACAATTGAAAAAAAAAAATCAAAATTATATTTTTGAGAGGATGTATACAAATCTTTAATATCATCCTATCTTATATATTTGTGGAGTAGCAAATAAATCTCTTATAATTTTTTTTTATGTAATCATGAAATGGGTTGCTAGATAAGATAAAAATTGAACATTATTTATTTATTTATTTTTTTTTTTTTTTTTTTGAAGAATATTAATAAAGACGGAACGTTATTGTTATTTTTTGGAAGAATATTGATTTTTTTTTTAAAAAAATTGAAGAATATTAGTTAATTATTAATAATTTATATTTCTTTTAAAATGGTTTTTTTTAAAAAAAAATAATTAATTGAACGTTTTCTTAAAAACAAAATGAACATATATTTTCCTTTTTCAAATATTTTATTTTAAAGTGCTTGTATATAATAATTGTATAATTTATAGTTTTTTTAAAATTAAATCCTAATATCAAAAGATCATCTTTTAAAAAAGTTAATTTTTAGTTTTAAAATTATTTAAATCTTAATAAATCATTATTCGTCGTTTTTACCTACGTGGAAAAAATTTTAATCATTCGTCACTTTTGCTTATGTGGCGAGTGAATTTTTTAATTCTAAAATAAAATACAAATTTAACTTTTAATTGGTCGAAATAATACCTTTGCTCATGTGGCGCGCCAAATGCTCTCGAAAAATGCCTACTTTATTTATATATATTAGATTATGGGTGGGCTTGTATTTTGGTGATGAAATATTGATTATTAGAGTGTTGTTTGGAGCTTACGGCAAGAAGTTCAAATGGGAGTTGGAAATGGTTGACTTATTAATAATGATGTATAAAAATATCAGTTGAGCCTTATTGTATACGAAGTAGTAGTATTTAGCTATTAGGCTTATTGGGACAATGTTAGTTTAGGCCCTAATGTTGTTAATTAAACCTTGCTTACATGTTAATACAAAGGAGATTCAGTTCCTAACATGGTATCGGAGCTCTAAACTTAAAAGCTGATTTTTTTTTTCATTATTTTTTTTTATCTATAACTATATACTAAAGGCGATCTTACATATTCCAGTTCCTAATTTAAAGATTTTCCGCCATTTTAATTCATTGTGCCAAATCTTTTTATTAAGAAAATTCTATTTCACTATTATATTTTCTTTCCTACTTTACCATTATATATGTTTATTCAATATCAAATTTTATTTCAAATCTTTTAAATCTTTTTAAGAAAAAATATTTTTTATTTTTTTTATTGTAATGCAATGTTTCACTCCCAAATTCTGTGAAACATTTTACAGCTACTTTATTAGTATAGAATTAATATAGAAATTATTATTATCAAAAAGATTTTTTTACATATAGTATAGAATATGTATATCATACGAGAACAACCTAAAATTTACTATTTATATTAGAAAAATTTATAGAATGTTAATACCAAATTTGTAGAAAACTTTTGAACTACAAATTATTACAAGTATAAATCTTTACAAAATTTGGACTTAAGCTAGTATATTACTATACTTAAAGATTTATATCATTAATATCATGGTTAACTTATTATTAATAATTCAAAGATAATAATTTTTTTTTTTTCAATTCACCAAAGGAAAAATAAAAAATTAGGTATTACAAAGTAAAAAATCCCCTTAATTTAACTAAGGGCATGTTAGAGTTGAAGATGTTAGAATTATAAATAATAAAGGAGAAGAGAAAAGGGAAATAATATTATAAACTTGTATTCAATCTATTAAATAATTGAGTTCTCCACTTGTTTCCACTCTAAACCCCCAAAACTTACAGAACCTTTCATTTCATTCATTAATTTTTCTGAAGTTTTCAACTTTATTTCTAAAAGAAAGAAAAAAAAAAAAGAAGAAGAAAAGCAATAATGGCAGTTGTAGAGATGGTGATTGGCCCTTGTGAGATAGACCATATCTTTTTATTTATGAAAACAAGTTCGGGTTATAGTAAAATGAAGGAGAGAATTCAACAAAAATGCTCGTACATAAAGTAATACAAGTAATTGGCCCTTGTGAGTACCCACATTTTACATCAAATAATAATTCAGTTCTCCACTTCTTTCCACATTTCATTCACAATCACACGTTTTCTGTATTTCCAACTATTCTTATCTATAATCTTTCTGCTGTTTTGAACTTGATTCCCCCCCCCCCCCCCAAAAAAAAAAAAAAGAAGAAAAGCAAATATGGCAGTTGTAGAGATGGTGGTTTCAGCAATGTTTAAAGAAGTGTTAGATAAACTGGTCTCTGAAGGAGTGAAGCAGTTCGCGAAGCTGATTAACAAAGGAAAGAAATCTGAAAACAAAATAAAAATCGAAGAATGGAAGGATGAGCTGGAGATGATTCAAGCGGTGTTGATTGATGCTGAACGGAAGCAATTTGATGAGCAACACGGAGCTGCAATCAGGTTGTGGCTAGAGAATCTTCAAGACTTGGCTTTTGATTTGGAGGATCTTTTGGACGACTTTGCCCTTGAAGCCCTCAAAATGAATCAGGGTAATAATGATGTTCATCATTTCAAGAAGAATGCTCGTGGATTTCTTCCAACTTCCTTCCATAATATGGTTTGTACTTCTATTTTTATCTACTACTAGTCTACTACATAGCAATTTTTATGGGTTATATATGCTCCATAGCCTCTCCGTTTTACAAAGTGTTACATTTTAGTCGATAAAAAACCGCACATAATAAATACGATGATCTTATTTGAATTTTTTTTTTTTAATTTTTTGAAATAAGTAACAAAAATAAGGTTAATTAAACATGGCTTTAATAAAACATGGTTATATGGTGTCTAGTTAGATTCATCTCCCAACGTCTAGTTTCAAATATATATTTTTTTTAAATAAATTTCTTGTATTCATAGACTCCATAGAGTTTTATGAGAGTCTATTTGCACTAATATTATAGTAAAATAACAATACGATGGTAACAAATAAAAAAAAAAGTAGTGTGTGAGAAAATAATTTGTTATTCACAGAGAAGGAAGGCTATCATATTTTAATACAAGTTTAATTTTAATAGTTTATTTGCTTTTTTCTTGAATAAATTAGCTGTAGAACTTTAGCATAGTTTCAACGCATCATTTGCATGCATCATATTAGCTTATAAACTTTAATCAATCAGGTTGGCAGTGTTTTGGCGTGTGGATGTAGTACTACCCGGCAAATTGGATACTCTGGTCCAGACTTTTCATCAAGGATTGATGAGATAAGTAATGCCTTGAACAAGATTCAAACCCGGGTTCCGACTTTGGGTCTCATATCCAACAACTTGAGGCTACCAACATACGCAGTAGAGGTGCAGCAACGAAAGATGCCAGAGACCTCTTCTTTGATAAGTGAGCCTCATGTTCACGGGAGGGATGGTAGGAAAAAAGATATCATCTGTCAATTGTTGGAAGATAAACCAAGTTATGAGAATTATGTCAGTGATCCCTATCGTTGGAATGGGAGGCATTGGGAAGACTACTCTTGCTCAGTATGTCTACAATGATGAGGAGGTGAAGACTCACTTTGCTCTTAAGGCATGGGTGTGCGTATCAGATGCGTTTGATGTGAAAGTGAAACGGATAACAAATGATATCATCAACTCGGCCACCCAAGGCAATTTTGATTGTAGCAACCTGAATCAAGCACAAGAGAAATTGCAGCAAGTGCTAAAGGACAATAAATTCTTAATTGTTCTTGATGATGTTTGGAGTGAGAATTATGAGGAGTGGAACCAGCTACAAATACCTTTTCTTGGTGCACCACGAGGAAGCAGAGTCATCGTCACAACCAGAAAGGAGGTCACTGCAGAGTCATCGTCATACTTACATTTTCATTTATTTCACTTCTGACAGCTTGTTGATACAACACTCAGCAATCAATGGAACTTCACTCAAACAAAAGATTATAAACTGGTTAGCTTGAATTCAACCATGTCAGGCTAATTTATGCATTTTACTTTGCAATTTTTTGTCTCTTTTCAGTCTAATTCTAATCAATCATTCACTCATTGATATAGGAAGGTTTTTCTTATAAGACATTTTCTTTGGCTGGATATAAATATTATATGCAGTAGCTTAATATTTAAAGTAGGCTGATCTTGAAATTTCAGCATACCTGCATTCTCCCTTCCTCTTTCTTGAAGTCAACCGATCCGAGCTCATCCCATTCAAGTAAGCTTAATTAATAATGGTCTCACATTCATTTTACATTAAACATCAACTTATGTTTTAAATACACCAATCCTAGAAATCAATAAAACTTCACTCAAGCAAAAACAGGGAATTTCCCCTTGTATTATGCATTCTCAAACAGATAATTAGTATAGAGTTCTAGAAAAGTGAAGGAACATTATCACGATATTGCTTTTGTGTTTCTTTTCCTAAATATTGCAAATAGTAATCGCAGGAGGGAAAACTTGATCAACTAATTAGTTGTACATATTTACATATCTTTCATGACATACTACAATTTAACTTCAAATCAGATTTCAATTTTGTGTCATTGTGGAAACTAATGGATATAGTAGTTGTAGATACCTTTTCTATGTATTTAACTTGATTGTTACAAATTTACCTTTTTAGATGTTTTTCAGATGAAATAAAAATAATGATATTTTTACTATCTTGAAGCTATTATTGTAGAATAAATGTGCAATGTTCTGATATATATTGTTATAGCAGGTACATGACCTTCAAATGCAACTGTTTGCTCATATTATGGTGCTAAGAACTCATGTAACTGAAAAGCCTAACAGTAGTAACATCTACAATTTTAAGGTACTGGAAAATTAAGCTTGCCTTTGCTTTCAATTTATTTTTAATTTAAGATGTAATTTCTAGTGCTGCTGATGGTGATCTGAAATACTACGTTACCTGATAGAAATTTCAACTCATGGCATGTGTTTATGGTTTAGATTTTTGGGATTATTTCTTTGGCTATCTTGTCATTATTCGTGTCTAAACTTCTATTGCTGAACTTATTCCTTTGCTCTTTCAATTCCGTACTTCTAGTTTAAAGGATACCTCAAGGACTCGAGTAACATATTCTTCAGTCTGCCAGAAAATTAAAGGATTTGTTTTTAATCACAATTAAAGTGTCATTCATCTGTTCTTGACTTCTAGTAGTTCAATAACAACCAGGTTTTCTTCTTTAGGCATGTGTTATTGCAGAGTTATCTCAAATTACAAAAATCTCTTGGCTAATTTATTGTCTTGATCATCCCAAACTAGTATGCTCTGATGTATAATCACTCATAGCTTATTAATTACTAATACTCTTCTTTCTTTGCTCTGTTGATAAAACTTCCTGCTGGTTCCGTTTGTTTTCCTACCATTACCCATTTTTTCAGCTACTGATGATTTCAACCTCCTAAAGTCTTTTGAGTTATTCAGCGCCAACTGAAATGTAGTGTTAATTCATGTATCCAACTTAGTATTCCATGAATAATGCTTGTTAGTTCACTTAACTTTGTCAATACTCATTTTTGCATAGTTCAAAAAAAAAAAAAAAAAAAAAAAAAAACTCATTTATGCTGATATTGTATGCTCTTCACATTTATTAACTGGTAAGAAGATACTTCTTCAGTGTCATGTACTGTGTAAACTTTTGTAAAGTAAACAATCACTTTCACAGTTGTAAATTTTACTCCTTTTTATGCTTTTATAGTTAATCATTAGTCATAGACTCGTAGCCAATGACTATAATAGAAGATATACATTAAGGATGAAAATTTCACAGCTGCACCAAACAAAGTATTGTATTAACCTATTGCGGAGTATCTGTAAGGGAAGGGCAATGAATTTGACTTCTACATACTGCTAGTAGGTGATTTATAGTCAACGAGGTATTTTATAATTTTCAAGTATCATCTTTTTTTTTTTTTTTATTCTTTTAAACAATGAGATGATTTGTACAATTTTTCATCTCATGTTTGCACTAGAAACTTGTAGAAAGCTAGTAGCAATAGCATATAATCCTTTGCCTAATAGCATTGCACATACTCTCTTATATCAGGTGACAAACATTATTGGTTCTACACTACTAGAGCTGCAGAAAGTTTGTCCACGTTCAGACATTCATCCAAGGATTACTGTCATTTCATAGTTGCAAAGTGATCAGATCCCGGGCAGAGTGTTTTAGTTACGCTGCAGACGTGCCAAGTAGAATGAAGCTTGTCAAAGCTAGGAAGTTTCGACGCTGTTTATTACAATAAGCTACAGTGTGGCTAAGATACACTGCTATAGTACCAAGAAGTATCAGATAAGCATAAATTGGCATTTCTCTGTTTGAGCTTGATAGCAACTTTGTTTAGCCAATATACTTGAGACCGCTCCATATGTTGCAACTTCAAGGTTTGTTATTGCCTTAAATTGTTGGCATTTTTCATTTTTGATTCAGAGACAAGTCATCAGGATGCGCTTTTTATTACTAGAGAGACATAAATTGAGGATTTGCTTTTCACTGTCAATGTATATGCATTTCATCTGGTTGTTGTTCAATAGCAACCAGGATTTCTGCTTTTGCTCCACACGTTTAGTAATTTCTACTATACTATTGATGATCAATAGCTTTAGGAAGCACTAGTACTAAGAACATTTATTTTTTGTCATTTCAATCTCCTAGAGTAATTTCTCCTGATGATCTAGCTAGCACTTGAGTTGCAAGTATGCACAAGAAAACTGGAAAGTAACGTAAAAATAAAAATTCCCTATTAAAATTGCTCTTAATTTTTATTATCTGGCGAGACATTTTTGGTTCTTGAGCTGCAGAATGTCTCTCCATATCGCTCAATCTAGTTGTTGACATTCATTCAAGGATTACTGAGGTGGCGTGTAATTTGCAGATAAATACAACCCCGGCATAGTCTTTTGGTTACACCACAGCCATATCAAATAAAAGCAATTGGGTGAGCAAGATACACAGTTATAGTACGAAGCAACATATATTATATGGTGGCATACTGGCATTAGACATCTGCACGAGTTTGTGGCAGCTCTCGCGCTTTGGTTAGGCAAGTTACTTGGGACCGATTTCAATGTCTGCAAGTGTCCGCAAGTAGAATGAAGCTTGTTAAAGCTAGAAAGTTTCATTAAATTAAGTAACACTCTGGCCAACATACAGTGCTATAGTACCAAGAAGCATCATATATACAAGTATTGTCTTTTTTTGATAAATGATGGTAACATCTTACCAAGAAATAATTCATTACCCGACCCCAACTGACATGTCCTTTCACACTACTATTGCCCATTTGCTATTTCCTACTATCTTTGCATTATACAGTTTATAATTTACACTTCTCAAATAACACGACTTGTAAAGTTACTAAACTTCTATTTCTGACCTTATTCCTTTGTTCTTTTTATTCTGTACTTCTAATGCTGAACTTTTTTTTTTTTTTTTTTTTTTTTGGTTGTTGTCATTTTTCACTTTTGATTTGGAAAATAAAAGGGTTCAACTAAAAATATGGAGGAAGTATAAAGGACTCGAGTAACATATTCTTCAGTCTGCTAGAAAATTAAAGGTTTTGTTTTTAATCACACTTAATGTTACACCATAACAATGTTGCTTTAAGAAGGAATTAAGCGAATTAGTGCTACAAGGTTGTTTTAAACAAAAAAAATTTAACTTCGGGTTTTCTTTTACAATAAAGCTTGTAAAAGGTTTTTTTTCGCAAAATGATGCATTTAAAAGGTTTTTAACAAATTTGCCTTATAACAATTAGTTTGCAGGATTTTGTGTATAATTATATTTTTCCCTTATATTTTTGTATATGTAATTTGTGAAAATTAGTTGTTGGACTTTTAAAATTTCTAGCCTATTTGATCTTTCTCGTTCTTCAAGTTGTTATAATGAATTAATTGTCAATATGGAAAAAAAAAAGTTCGATATACATCAATTTGCCTTTAAAAAAGGAAAAATTGTAAATAATAATCCCAACTTTGCCGTATTTTCTTTTAAAAATCCCAACTTTGAATATTCTGAAATAATCAGAAATTTGGGGGCTGTTTAGTTTCTTCAATCCCAAATACGGAGTACCGTTACCGATTGAATGGTTTTTTTTTTTTTTAAATTGACACGTGTCACAAGTTAATTGGTTAAAAAATAACAAAAAAATAATTATCTATAACTAAATTTTAATTTTAAAATAAAAATTAATTAATTTTTTTACAAAAAAAAACAAGGGTACGTGACTGGGCTACTCCCAGCCACGTCACTGCCGTTGCCGCCGCGGGCTGGCTGAAGGTCGGCCACTGCAGCGCCGACGGACGCAACCAGGCAGCAAGCCCAGTCACGCCAGCTAGGCCAGCGACGGCTAACGCAACCAGGCAGCAACCCCAGTCACCATAGCCAGCACCAGCCGACAATTCTCACACGCTCCAATCACCACCACCACCACTCAAACTCCCTTAAAACACTTCCCTCATTCCCGAAAAACTCCAAACACTCCTCCCCAACCATCGAAAACCCTAACCGCTAGGGTTTCGGGTTGGGGGGAGGAGCGATTCGGGGTTTATGGGAGTGAGGGAAGGGTTTCTATATATGGTGGTTGCGTGGGGGATGGGAGGGGGTCTGGGGAAAACGACGACGTAAGGGTGGGGAAGCGCGGAAGGTCCATTTTTATTTATTTAATTGCTTTGAAAATACTTTATTTTATTAATTAGAAACTTTGGGGCATATTATTTTGTAAAAGGAAATTTAAAGTCAATGGTATTTAAAGAAAGTCAAATACTAATTTGAATAGGAAAATGGATCATTAAGGGTAGAAAGGGAATTTAAGCTTAGGAGGGTTTTTATAGAGGGTATAAATACTGTAATACCCCGTATTTTTATACGTAATTTAACTTAAATAAGTATTTATTAAAGTATTTAAATAATTCAAAATGAATTATTTATGGTGTTTCATTAATTTAAAAAGAATTATTTTAATTAATAGTTTATTTTTAATTATTTAACAATCTTGAAATATTTTGTTTCATGATTTGGAAACTTTGGGGCATATTATTTTATAAAAGGTGAATTTTAAGGTCAATGATATTTAAGGAAAATCAAGATACTAGTTTGAATAGGAAAGGGATCATTAAAGGTAGTAAAAGAATTTTAAGTAGGAGGGTTATTGAGAGAGGGTATAAATACCCATCATATGAGCAAAATCAAACTTTGCCCAAGGTGGAGAATACCCAAATGTAAACTCTCTCTCTCTCCTCTTATTTTCTTTTCCCCTTAATTTTTCCCCTTCCCCTTTATTTTTAATTTTAATTGTTTCATCACCACCCACACACACACCACCACCGGTCGGCCACCACCACAGCCACCACCGGCCGGCTGCCACCACCAATGAGCGCCGGCAGTAGCAGCACCAACCGGCAGGGGCGGCAATAGCCTTGCTGTGGTGGTGCTGTGCGCGCACCTTCAAAAAAAAAATTCTTCTTATTGATTTTTAATTAAATCCACCCTTAATCTAATTATTATTTGGGTTTTGTAATGATTTTTATGATGTTTGATAATAAGTATTTTGTATATAAATTTTCAGATATGGTATTGAATTAAAAAGCCCCAAATTATAAACCCTATGTTTCTAAGTTTATGTATATTGATGGAAATTGTTTATAGATGATTTAAGTTATTGAAATAAGTGTTTTAAAACACAATTACAGCAATCTTAGATGATTTAATAAAGCTAGAATTTTTATATATAAGCTATAATTATGTATTTTGAAAGGATTTTTAATTACCCATTAAAGCATGTTAGTGTGTGCTTGAAAATAGGTGCAACAAGGTAAGTTGTGTGCTGATAGGATTAAAGCATGTTAGTGTGTACTGTTACGCTTATGTACTCAGCATTGCTGATTGTGTGTTTGTATGTTTGTTTGGCCTTGTCTTTATCTTGGCCCTACAACGACCCATTTCTAACGGCGAGTAGTGGGGACAAAGTAAAGAGGAGCTTTTCAGGTGATGAATCATATTCATGATGAGCATGAGTGAAGTGCGAATCATGTTTAGTTTTCATAAGAGTATAATGTGGTTTATCGCTTTGATTATTATATATTTTGCTTGTAAGACTAACACAATGGCTTTAAACATTTTCTTTGGTTTTGTTAAGGGCCTACAATGGTTCCAAGTTATAGGTTGACTTCGTTTGACTTTGGTTTGACTTTACTTTCATTTGGTTTGACTTTTTAAGTTGACTTGTTTTGAATGGTTTTTAAAGATAGTCTTCCGCTGTGTGTCTTTGGTGATTGCCTTAGCCGTTTTCACGGTGGCGGTAATGTCTTAGAATTTCCTATTTCATATTTAAAAAGAGCAAAACAGGTATTTTAAAGGAAAGAAATTTCTAGGGTGTTACACTAGCCATGCCGTGTGACCGCTTGTCAAAAAAAAAATGGAGTAATCCTTACAACACTAACAAAGTAACCTCTATTACATTGATCGAGTAACCCATTTATTATACTTATTGAGTAACTACTCTCTCCGTTTTTAAATACTTACTTCATTTCTCTATACGCGGAGTTTTAGGAGAATTTGAAGAAAGTAATAAAATATAGAGGTAGTGGGGTTAGTGGAAGGTAAATTGGAGGAGAGAGAATCTAAAGGTAATAAAATATAATTCTATTGGGTCCTTCTAGTCGAGAGAAGTGAATTAAATATTAAGTTTTTCAAATAAGGATATGAAGCAAATATTTAAAAACGGCCAAAAATGGAAAGTTGAGCAAGTATTTAAAAACGGAGGGAGTGTGAAATAATAAAGTAACCCTTACAACGCTGATAGAATAACCCCTATATTACTAAATAACTCCTATAACCATAACAGAGTAATCACTCTAACACTAACCGAGAAACCTCATATAAAAGTTAGTAATCTTACTAATGAAATTATAGAAATCACATTGTTATTTTTTTCATACGGTGTATAATTCTATAACATATATTGTTCTTACATGCCAACAAGAGTTGGCTCAAGTGGTAAGCAGCTTGACGTCGATTAAGGGAGGTCTCGAGTTCGAGCCTCACCGAATGCAGAAACTCTTGTTGGAGACTTACCCACCATAAGCCAAGATGTGCAACCCGGGTCGGATCGGGATGTAGTCGGAGCTAAGCTCCGGTGAATTGGGTGGGACAAACTCAAAAATAAAAAATATTGCTTTTACATAAATCAAGAGTATGCTACATTTGCCTGTTATAGAATTTGTTTAATTTATGTCATTAGTACATGTTAATATTTTTACATTCGTGACAACTATATAAAGTACTGTATATACTACGTGTATATATATATGAGGGCTTCGAAACGGAGGGTTGTGAGACAATAAAGCTATGTCTCGCAAGGGCAATATAGGAATTTTAGGCGTCATTTTAGAGATGTCTCATTGAACTGTTAAATAGTACCATTGGAGCTTCAATGAAACAAAATACATTCTCAGTGGTACTAAAAAAAATTCAATTGAAGTATTAGTGGAACAAAATATAGACTCAGTGGTAGTGGTCCCTATAAATTTTTGTCCGTTTTGCACGTGAACATATGTCTAC